AAATAAAGTGTTTGGACAAGAAAATATTTGGGTTTAGCTATTTGGATGCAGTACGGTGCTATGCTCTAGCTGGATATGATGACATGAGATGCACATTGAGACTTAAGCAAACCAATATGCATATAAAGAAAACATAGAAAATGAATTATCAGCAAGAAAACCAAGATTCTTAGACAACAATTTGACTGCTGTTCTACCTCTTACCTTTCACTGAAGGAAACATTTATGCACACAAGAAAACAGAAGTCCTGATATAGAGCTAATTTTTAGCAACACTGTTATATTTAATGTTAAAGCAACCCTACCCCCCTAAAAAGAGAGGAAGTTTTATAAAATGAAACTGCAGAAACCTCGATGTACTCTTAGAGAGTTTCATGTGTCTGCACCAAAAACTTGGTAAATTACCAGCCTGCTTCCACTAATGTTGGTTCTTCAGTTCAGTTAAGTCATATATGGGCATTTCAACTTGTGCTCTACAACATCATAACAGACTTGATAACTGAAACTACCATATATTTATACAAATTAACACAAAATGTTCCATGTCATGGATAAGTATGCAGCCCTTTTCAGTGAAATTCTCATAAAACATCTTCACAGAAAGAATTTCCATACATCTTAACGATTTTAAGCTTGGCAACTGTTGTATCGAAATCTTTTATTTTATTTAGAAAAAAAAAGAAACAAAAAAAGCTTAGAATCTTTTATAATGCTTAAAAAATGAAAATAATTTTTGAATTTGATTAATTAACGTGATATTTTTTTCTGTTTCAGTTAAGAAGTAATATAATATTCTTAAAAATATGCAACCGCGTATAACTCCTAAAAGAACAAACTATAAAAATGCTTCACCAGGCCACTTATAAAAGAGCAATGACAACCCAATGATACATCAAAGGTTTCAAACAAATGCATCAATGATATTCTCCAAAACCTAATGAATGTGTTCAAATTTTCCTTGGTTCGTATGCCTTACTATACTATTATGACCTCCTAGAATTAATTGATTTCTTTTTTGCTAGACATGAATGGCTTGAAGAGATTATTATGCCAAACTTCCATCTAGGAAGGTGACCTCTAGCAATTTCCTCATAATACTGCTTGGAAGAGTTAATCATAAATACTGAAGAAAGCTTCTGCTTGAAGAGTAAGTCTTAAACTACATAATCATGAATGCTGTATTGCACGACAAAAAGCTAACTTGTCAATTTAAAAGATCAATTCAAAATCCACAAGTTACCTAAAGTTTGTAACGCAAACAGAAAGAATTCCAGCATTTACTGCCGCTCGACATGCGACGGGGACAACATCTGAAACCTGAATTCATAAAAGCATAATCATAACAAGACCTTTGTTGAAGAGAAGGGAAGAAGACCCATACATATTGCTATATATAACGGGCACTAGAAACTAGAAGGTTACCAGCTGTGAAAAATCTATATCCCTTATTATATACAAAAGACAATCGAGAAGTTGCAGGGCAAAACTGTAGAAAATATTGCATGTATTCAAGTACCACAAGGTCAGCTTTGATAGACTTTAGCCATTCCACCTCCGTTGCCAAAATAGAATCTCGTGGTATTACTGCAGTCTGAGAATACTATAATAACAAACAGAAGGAACAAAAAAAAAACATAAATTAATAGACAGATACAGGAGAAATTGGAAATTGAAGATCAAGAGAGATATCAAACTAAAGAATGAAAACAACATTAACATCAATGAATAACAATAAACCAAGGATAAAATGTAAACTAGAGTGATTGTACTAGTTGGCATTCACTTTGAATTAGATCAGCATGACTACGAGCACAACACTTTGTATCATATCATAAAGTTTACAACAGACCTTTTCCAAGGAGGCAAGGCGATCAACAGTCAAAGCATCTGCCTGAACAGCTCCGCAGTCTAGTAACACCTGTAATCGGACAAAAAAAAAATTTGTCAATGGAGTTGCACGAACATGATACATGAAGTTTGTGATTAATGAGCATAATGCACAGATTGATAACCCTAAAACCTATAGATTGAATTCTCTTGAAAGAGAAGGTCATGATCTAAAGTAGAAGAATAATTGTCCGTTCTCTTTTCTCTAACAAACTGGAAATGGATCAAGATACTTTGTAGTGCTTTGAGGATGGGATAATATGGATCAAACTCTATAAAATATATAAGTAAAGAAATGGATCCGTCTGCACAAACAATATAAAGGAGAAATAGAAGCTAGCATGATTTGGACAGTTAGTAGCTCTACATACATAAACCAAACTGGAGTT